GAATATGACTTTTCTAACTCCAATGACGCCGTCTTCCCTAATCGGTCTGAACCACGATCGCATGGCCTGAGCAATACATCTGCTTTGCATTGCTCAGTTATTTCTGCAGTCGAAAAATTGACGTCTGTCAAACTAACCCATTGAGCAGCTTTGTCGTAACTTTCCGCACTCTGAGGCTCCACCACAGCTACGTTCTCTCCCTGACCCTTCCTAGTGCCAGGATAGGACGGCACAAGTGCACATGTTTCAGCGTAGATCATTGCGTCAGCTTCCAGGTCGCAGTCATACTCCTAGAAGCAGTTGGAAATAAATCACGAAATTCGTAGGGGGAAGCCATACCATCTTCTCCATGTCGGCGGCCTTTTTGAAGAACTTGCCATTGAATTTTTTCATTTTCCCAGAGCCATATTTGATCTGAATGAAATATCTTACATAGCTAGGAGAAACACTTTTTGAGTAGTTGTACACTAACCTACGGAAATTATGCATTTTGAGGAAGTGCTCTCTCAGGCTGTCTGTCATTCCTGTGTTGCTGGAGCACTGATCGCTTTTACCTTAATAGAAGATAACTAGAAATCCGGTCCATTGCTAGCTACGCGAAGCGAAAGCTAACCTGCAGGAACAGTTTCGAAACTTGGAACTTGGCATAATGTTTCAGTAACATTGCACGTTGATCGGGGATACGTCGTGCAATCTTTATCTGTTGCACAAGGCGTACCTGCTTTGTATATCAACTGACCCATCTTGAGCTCACTGCAAGCCGAAAACATCATGTTCACTGCTCACCGTTATTTTACCACGAATTTTCTTGGCTCCTCTCGGCCTGTCTGGCCTTATCAAATCGGATACTATGATATCTTGCTACAACAGTACCTATCTTGAAACTCCGTTCAAGCCTAAAATCCCATAGATGCGTCTGCCCGAGGATAAGTCCATTTTCCAAAACCACTCTACGAAGCTTTTGTCCCTTATTGGTCATTTTTGTTGTGTCCACTTGTCCTTTATAATACTTTTTTTTGAATGAATATTTGTTAGGAATTCAATCAGCTGTTCGAGCTCAGAATTCCAAGATTTTTTTCGTCGAAACATTGTCAATAGAGTGAATTCGTTGCCCTGATCACGAATGTCATATTAATTTTTGACGATCACGCAAATTGGAGCCGCTTCAAAACGACGACTCTTATATCCGAGTTAGCTGTAAACATGAATATTCGTATTTGGTGATTTTTTTACGGATATGACATTCATTTTTTTCTGGTCCTAGAGAACGCCCCCGTATCCTCCTATAGCGCTGATAACTGCTCTGCGAGTACTCAAGAAGGGCTGTACACTGCAAGCATCACTACTTCGCTATTTCTCAGGAGGCTAATTGTTCTATATTAAAGGAGCTGATTAGAATTAAAGCAGACGTATGGAAGTAAGGCTTACGGTTTGCTAAAGAAACACACGGCGGTGGCTTTGTCGTTGCAAGTCTGCTGAGAGCAACCGACGGAAAGTGTTACCGCACGATAAATCTGTCAGACGTAGTTGATTTTTCAACAAAAAAAGTGTCCTTGTGAAAAGCTGTTCTTACATTTGCAAGCGACCTCAATCCTTCGGGGCCCTGGAATTTCAATACCATGTTGCCCCATTGGTATCTAGAGCGTCCGCTAGCAAAATCGTCGAACCGCATTTTGAGAGGACTTTCGAGCTCCAGTTCATCATATAATTTCCTTTGTTCGTTTGATAAGCTGAAAAACACCGAAAGTCTGAGCCCTGATACAAAAACGTAAAATATGAGCAATCACATAAAATGTGCACTCATGGTCTTAAAGGCACAACCCAGGCAGAGGTCGTGTGAACGCTTCTCTTCGGTCTGTAGTATAGACCCCTAGAGGACAATCACAAATGTGGCGTTCCGTGCACGGAAACCAACCGACAAGAGCGCTTGGGCCTTGCAAAGTAAGCTGCTAAGCTGCAGATTTTTTCTCTTATCAGGCTGTTGTCTGGCGCTCTCTCATCTGTAGCGCTCTCTCGCCTCATACTCTCCTCTCCGCGCTTAGTCTCTCATTCCCTTAGCACAGCCGATTAGAAGGTGAGTGAGCCCTTAACCTAAGCGTTTTTCGACGGATTCTTTTCCTTTTTTCTTTACTGCCGGCCCATTTCCACATTCGCATTCGTGTGCAAGAGCCACACCAATGTGATCCTGGGGCATGCCTTTAAATAGCTCTAGCAGA